ATCAGTCTATTTCTTGAAGTTTCAGCGACTCTGCTGGGATCAGTCTAACACCAGATGTTTCAGGACATTCCAGACTCCACCACTGTTGACCTTTGTTTTAAACGATTGTTCTGTGTAATTTATTAAACGTTTTTTAACGAGCAGTTTTATTTTTTTGTAGTTTCTGTGAGTGACTCCCGTGAGTCACTGATGCAGCTGTTAAAGGGTTTTGACAGAGTCCCAGAGACTCACTTTCTTTATTTATCTTTGAGTTTTGTTTATCTCTACTTATCGCCAATTATCACATTTATTTCTAACACTATTGAGCACGTGCATACGTGAACAAACTATACGCCTTCTGAGCCACACATCAGCGCTAAACAACTCAGAATACATTAATTTCAGATAATTTTCATGAACCTTCAGTCACAACAGTGGAATGGTCTTTACATCCAGCCCCTTATTGTTCGGACAAACAATTCAAACAAAACAAAGACACAATAAATAGTTATTATTCCAAAACTTGTTTCAATAAGAACAGTTTATAGTCACAGGCTTTACTATCAAATGTTCTTTGTTCTGAGACAAACAGACTGGACCATTCCTGTCAGGTGCTTCACCTGCAGGAGTTGAAAAAAGTAAATCTGGAAATATAAATGTAACTGTTCAGTCGTTGCACTTGATGTTATTGACGTGACGATGAATCATTGTCATGACAACATGACAGGTTCAAAATAGTCACTTTTGTTTTGAAAGTCTCCACAGGAAGTGTGGGCGTTGATGTCGCATGCGCCTCAGTGAGATGGATGCAGTTCTCCCAAATGGCCACTAGATGGAGACAAACGCTTGAACTTTTGTTGAAATATTTAAATTTTCTGTAAAGTACTATATTTTTGTTTAATATTTTTTAAATTTTGACTTTTTTCCAGCTCCACAACTAAATGTTGCGTAACTAGTGAGATGGGAAGAAAAAGATGCACTTTCTTGGATTAAAAGTGTTTAAAAATACAAATCATTTCAATGTCATTATTATTATTTTGATTCTTTTAATGATTTTGGATTGTTTTTTAACAAAAGAACATCTGTTTTAAACCTCTAGCTCTCTGTATTCAGAATCTTTACGAAGGCTTGAAATCATTCAGCTCTGAAGTCTGTGTTTTAGGGGGGAAATGTATTTCTTTAATTGTGGTTGTTTTTTCGAGTTTAAATTATTCAGAAACCTTCAGGATGATCGAACGTTCAGCTTTAACCAGATCTGTTAAATGTGAATAAAATGTAATCAGATTACAACGTACAGTAACTTTCTGAGTAAAAGAAACAGGCAGAAGCTTTAGAAAAAACATCAAATCGTTTATTATATTATTAGTTTATGAGTGTTAATATCAGAAGCTTTTCATGCTTAACAGACGACCGACACTGAAAATACTGCAGAGGTTACAGACGAGAGCATGCAGCTGTGAGGAGGAGGAGGGGCAGCTCTTCATCTCCTGGTTCACCTCAGACTTCATCTCACGATTCAAACAGGAGACTCACACACACACACA